CTGCTGAATAGCTGAACCTATCTCCTTGTCAGCACCTAGATATTCTGACTTGATCTTGGGAGGTGCCTACGTTTCTCCATTTGTTTATATTGGGGACCTAAGTGCCTCATACTGTCAAATTTGATCATCCTCTGGGGCAAAATGCCTAAATTTTAGGTTTTGCAATGCTTAGGTGGAGCTAGCTATAGGGTCAATTTGGACATGGCCCCCAAATTTTAATAAATCTATAAATAGTAATATACCCCATTTAGAGCCATTCTTTGTCACTGCTTGGAAAAAAGCTAATCATTCTAGGCAGAAATAAGTAGGATTCAAAACTGAATGTATATCCCTTTGAAAAGAAAGGATGTTATTTAGTATCTCTTTATATATGTAGTACTCTGACTTAAGACAGGTTTAGAATTGAACAGTGGATTGTTATATGTGACAGGGAACAAGCTAGGGGCCAGGTCCCATGCTGGCCCACCCACCTGTCTCTATGGGGCAATCCGCCCTGCCTCACCTGCCATGACTTTGCTGTTCTCAAACTGGTGGTAAATGTGGGAAACTGCCCATTACATGCCCCGATCCCAGGGGGCACTATCTGAGGCTCTGACCTTCCCTACTGCACTGCCCATGCCTCGCAGGTGGCATCCATGGGATGTTCTTAACCCACACCACGACTGGTGCTCATGGGGACTCTCACTCTCCACCCTGGAGCAGCAGGTCTTTGTGCTCAACTATACGTCTTACTTTTGACCAACACTTGGCCTCCTAGGAGTGGAGGATTTACCGGGGTCAGGACTCTCCCCTCATGTTCTGGCTGAGCCCCATACTCAGCCTCTGGTCCAACTACAGCCTCAGGCATTCGAAGACCTACCTTGGCCTACTTCCCTCTCTTGGGATTCCTACTACACCCATTCTAGGGCCTCTACACCATGCCCCATCCTGGGGTCTGTGCATCATCTTCCCAATCAACTACTCGTGGGGCTGGCCCTTGCACTGCTCTTCAGGCCTACTCCCAGTTTGGCCCTACTCAGTGCGCCCCTGGGACTGCCCTTGGCCCTTGCCTACTCTTGGTTCAGCCCTACTCAGCTCCCCTCATGCACAGTCCTTCAGGCCTACACCCATTCAGCCCGACTCTGTAAGGGGCCACACAATTCCACCTTCTTCCCTCAGGCTTCACTATACCGCCCTCGTCCCTCGGGGTCAACCACCCCCATAGGCTCAGGTGGCACTCCATTTGCCATGCCTGACCCCACTACACTCACTCGCCAGGGTCTGACACCCCCCTCATGGGCTCAGGTGGCCACAGCCGTGCCTGGCCCCACTCCTGCCTCCAAAGCCCACCCAAAGATGGGGGCTGGGGTTAAGGTGCCCCTCCTCGCCTTTCACTGAAGAGGCAACTGGCCTGGCATTTCCTGGGGACTCCCACGCCACCAGGCCACCCTTCCCTGGCAGGGTGTAGTTTTAGGTCATGCCCAGGGCCAGGAGCCCCCAGCTCCTACCTGCTAGATGTTCCATGCAGCTCAACCAGGTGATGTTTCTATCTGGGCCAGCAGCAGCAAACTGCTGTGTTTATATAGGCAGCCAGTGTTCTAAAATGGCTGCCACAATCAAGTACCTGCTTAGTGCTTGACTCAGCCCTTACAGTGGCACAGACTGCAAGTGCCCTGCCATATTATAATTAGAGAATTTTTACGATGATAAAACCTATATTTTCATAGCATTTAAAAAAATTAATCTTAAGCATTAATCTGATTTTTTTCAGGCTAATTTTGATGAACTCTGGAGAAAATTTGTCACTTATTCATCTGGTGAACAGCTATTTGGATTGCCTGTCACAGACTATGAAGTTTTACATAAGATAAGGTAATTGATAGGAAATAGACCAATCTACAAGAACATATTGGCTGCTTACAGACATTAAAAAAACAAATAGGCTGTACTGGAAGAAGCAGTGTGTTAGTTTTACCCAGTTCCACATAGTTTGTATAGATTGGGCACTTCAGTGAAGTTTTTTGGTGCTTTAATCTAATAGTTTATTCAATCAGCTATTAGATAAAAGTGCCAAAAAGCCCCACTAAGGCACCCAATCTATACAGACATTGGGCAAGCCAGGTCCAACTAATGTGATGCCTTTTCTGGGCATACGCTAGGCTTGGTGTAGGGCCACATGGAATTTAAAGTAAAGCTCCACTTTCATTTTTTTCAATGTCTGTAAGCAGACATTAAGTGTATTAAAAAGTTTTAGTATAGGAATGAATAGAAAAGAGGTACATGTACAAAATTATGACACATTATTTTTGTCAGACTGTATGTAAAATAAAAGAATTTTGGAAACCTTAACAGAGAGAGAACGGACTGGGAGAGATGAGCAAAGAATAGTTATGGGCTTGAACCAAGATAGAATTGGATCTGCAGCATCAAGATTGATTAGATTCTATTGATCACCAGACTTTGTGAAAGAATTAGTTTGTAGAATGAATGGCATGAACTAGAGTCAGGAAATTCTGTTTCAGCTGGGAGAAGAATAACCAGGGACTTGTAAGGGATGTAAAGACAAAAGCATTTTAAGGATCTGGAAAAATGATATAGCTGCAAAGATGGGTAAACCACCACTAGTACTCCAAAAAATATTTGTATTCCTGTAATCATTGATAAGTATTCAAGATCTCTCTGCCTGGCTAGTTCACATAAGTGTTCATGTAGTTACTGAATTTATTCAATAAGATGAGGTTTCCCCCTGGATGCCATGTCATCAACCAAGCAGAAGGTGTTGGCTGTATCCAGGAGGCTTGGTGGCTGTTGGCTCTGCTAAGTGGCTCTGCATGGGAGATATAAGGAGGACACACTCCAGCATGAGCATCTATCAGGTCAGCTGCAGACACACATGTTAAATGTCCCTAAGTCTTCAGCGAGACTCGTGCAGGTCAACAATGAGGACGTGACACAACTCCTGGGTCTGTTGGCTTTTGTGAGAGAGCTAGGGATATATTGCAGGGTGCAGGAACAGAAACTGACATACTTGCAACTGACAAGAGAGGGGACACTGGAGGTCTGTTCTCTAGAAGCCTCTGAGCAGGCAGGGAGGGAGGTGTTGCTGTCAGCAGGAGTTCCTGGAGGGATGGGGCATGGTCCCGTGTGAGAGGCAGGGCTGCTCTGTGCACTTGGTTGCTTTTGGCAATCTCTGGCAGCCTAGGGAGCCTGCAAATACACACCTTGTTTTGGGAAGGCATCATTAGAAAAAAACCTATTTTTTCAGGCTAGGGACAGACTTTACACATAAACCCATTTAAGTGATCAAAAATTGGTTTAAACCTGTAACAGAACATAAGTTCAGTGCACATACACCAGTTTCAAAATGGCTGAAACTGGTTTAAGATAAACCTGGTTGAGTGTAGTATCAGGCTTAACTGATCTGGTTCAAACTGGGTTATGTAGTGTGTGTCCCAGACCCCTTCCTGGTTTAAGTTAAACCAGAGCCCCCCAGCATCCAAGATGCTTTGTAACCCCGGGCTGGGCTGGACTGGGCTAGGCCAGGTTGTGCTCTCTGCTCCAAAGAACAGGCTGGCCGTACCCTTGTCCTCCCTAGTCAGAGCTCTGGGGGAGACTGCAGGCACAGCAGGATCTGCCTGGCTTCCCTCGCTGTTTGCTGCTCAAGCAGGGATTTCCCCCTCCTTCCCATCTCCCACAACATAAACCCCAGCCCCACAGACCCTAGGCAGGTGATTTGCCCACTAATGCTGAGAGGTGTCTGTGTGTGTGTCTCCAATTTCACTGGGACAGGACAAAGGCAGATGGAACACTGTCCACTTAGGGCTTTTTGGAGCTAATCAGCAGGTCAGCTGGTAATGTGTCTCTGTGGAAAAAGCTGTTTAAGAAGAGCTTCAACTAATGAGAGAGGCTTTTGTTTTGCTGGTGGGCTGATCAACACTGTGGTTTTATCAGGCCCCCTATTGGTTTGCAGCCCTGTCAGGTTTGCAGACAGGGAGAGAGAGATTGAAAAGCTCAGTATCATCAACAAATGCATGCACTGCACACCCCAACCCATTGCTTCATAGTGCTAGCCTGGGGCTGAGGTCTGGCAACACTCCTGCTCCTTGAGCAGCGAGTGGGGGGAAAAGCCTGAGATGGTGCAGTCAGGGTGGAGGTTTACACCCCTCCTTAATCAAAGCACCCTGCTGGGGCCTGGCCACACGCCTGCTCAGCTCAGCACTATGGAATGGAAGTGAGCACTATGTTCCCTCCCCCACCCGGCTTCTAGCCTGAGCCACGGCAGGCATGTGCCTGCATTTCTGGAATGAAAAGGGAATGTCTATCCACCTCCAAATCGGTTCAAGCTTTTCAGGTTAGACTAACCTGCAAAGATTGAATCAACTCAGGCTCAGGCTTTTTGAATGTCTGTCCCTAGCCCCTAGACCATGATCTAGACCCTGGCTTAGACTTGGCTTTTTCATGATGACCCTGTGAAGAGCATCCTAGGATGTGTGCACATGTAGTCCGGGACTGTGGGCCATCACCAGAGAAGACTGTCTGCACAGCTCCTGCCCCAAATGTTGAATGCTTGTATAGTGCTCTACTAGTAGGGTTCCAACCATGGAAACAAAAATGTTGTTCCCACTGGTTAATTTGAATGCTTGAATGTACCCTCTATTTCCTTTTTGACATTTGTACAGTATTGTATTGTCTTGCATTTACACATGCCTTTATATTTAAATGATTTAAGGCAAGGTCTTTTGTTTTTATTTAGGATTCTATCTACTATAAAATATTTTGGTGTGATGCCAGTAAATATTAAATAGCTACCGACATTTTTTGAATAATTCCTCTAGATTTTTAATAATTTTGGTTACTGTTGTCTGAGTTTCATCTAATTTATAGAAATTCCTTTGGCATTGAGACATCCAGACAGTGTTCTAAGAATAGTGCAGACCCAGCTATATTGAGAAAACAATTAGTTTGCTGGTCCATGTCATGTTTTGACAAAGGCAGCCCAAAATTAATTAGAAATTTACTTTTATAATCCTGAAATGATGTGTCAAATTTACTGTCCTGGTAATTGTGTCTGTTATAACTTTCTAAGCATTCTGTTCTTAAAGTATTCTATAAGATATATTTGCTGTCAGGTAATGTATTTGATAGTTCTGGTCATCTTCCAGTTCTCCCCAATTCTAAGTTATTTGATTAAAGTTTATTGAAGTTTGCCTTTCTGAACAAATCAATGAAACATTCTTCCTAGTTCCTAAACTATTGCAGGAAGGGGGCACTGACACATACATAGCCCCCTCCCTAAAATATGGGCAGTACAGATCCTATTAAAGTAAATTTTTTTACCCTTAGGGTTTCATTCTAAATGTTAATTTTAATAATCATCTTATAATTATGAACAGAAATTGTAACACTATTTTAATAGCTAGTTGTAATGATTGATATCATTGTTATCTTTCAGGAAGGAGCTAGGATTGCTTCAGAAGCTTTATGGCTTATATGATACTGTAATGAACAATATTAGTGGATATTATGAGATACTTTGGACAGATGTAGACATTGAAAAAATTAATGCTGAACTTCTGGATTTTCAAAACAGGTGCTTTGTAATGTGGACCTTTTAGCAGGATATAATTAAGTATAACTAATGTTGATTTTATTAAGAATAATTAATTATAAAACAACTTAATATATTGGAATAAGTAAATTTTGTTAATAATATTAGTAGTGTTTAATTTATTAAAATAAGATAATTGGCCTCTTTAAGGAGAGATGGAGTCTATCTCCATCTGTGGTAATCAGTTGCTTCCAGCTGAGGCTGTGTAGGTAGGGATCTACTGAAAGACTAGGCACAACTACATGTGCAATTAATGCAACTGAATATTCTGCAGCTCAAATTGAGCTGGAATAAACTAATCCCGAGATGTCACCATCTACACATGTGTTTAAGCACAATAATTTACTGCAGTGTAGGATAGTACCTGTGTCTGACGAGACTATCCTACTCTCAAGTAAATTAATCTACTGTGCACTAATTGCAGCACACATGTAGATGGTGACACTTTGCTGCTGATTAAATTAACTTAATACTAAACCAATAGTCTACTCTTAGTAGTGTGCTATTAGTTTAGATGTATCCGCTGAAGAGTATCTGATCCTTATATAGACTACATGTTACAAGCGTTGTGCAAGGCACTCCAAATTACATTTGTATTCAGTGCCTTTGGCACAGAAAGCAGTTTTGGCCACATTAGTATGCCACTTCCCAAATGATAATAATTTAGGTATGTTGTTTCAAATTCCAGGGTTAATGCAGCTCATGATACAAGTTCAGCTAAAGGTCTACAGCAGACTGATATCTGTAGTAAGGGAACCTGCACATTGGTTTAACAATTTTGTATATAAAAGATCTCTGAATCTCTTAAAATTTTTATACACTATTCTTAAAATTTATAGGTCATCTAAAACAAATAAATAAACACTGGACATCTTTTACAGCGTGTGATCCTGGTAAAGAATTATTTGGTTCCATTATAAAGTGGAAAGATTAAAATATGTTTCTGACACTTCTTAAGTTATAATTTGGTCACAAGAGAACCTTTTAATCTTTTTAGTTAAACTTTACTTTGAGTGTTTTAGTAATTAGTATTAGGACAGAAAATATAGTTTGGAGGATAAAACCAAAGTGTTTTGTAGGATAGGGTAGTTTTTTTCTGCTGCACAACTACTTTCCTTATCAAACAGTTCTGGGTTAATGTCTTCTACCTGTGGAATTTGAACTAAGCCTCATCCTTCAGTTCCATATACTTCCCTGGTTGTTGATCATGTTTGTAGTTAGTTTGTTCTGATGATTGTATTTTATAACTTTATTTTATTTTTCAAATGGGTTCCTTGGTATTTTTTTTTCTCAGATGAGCTGTTTCAGTCACTTCCTTCTGAGATTCCTTTCCTCTTGTCTACATCTGAGAAAATGGCAAAACAGTTCTGCAAACAACAGACTAAATCTAAACCTTGTCTCCATAAGAGGCAGCTTCTAAGATAAATCGTGTCATGCCTCTTCATAGTCAACTCTCCTCAGTACTTTCAGGACACAGGACTCAGATATGTCAGGATACCTGTTCTCCCAGGAACTGTGGCTCCAGTAGAGAAAAACCCGAAAAGAACCTTATAAGCAGTTCTGGGAAAGTTGACTAAGGCCAAGGGCAAAAATCACCCAGTGCCAGGACTAAGTCCAGCTGTGGAACTGGATTGGAGGGGTTATCCACCTGAAAGGGGAAAAAAATCCTCAGAAACTGCAAGGGGTCTCCAGTTTTCTGAGGGAAGGAACAGAGTTAATATACAGCTCTCTTTTGTCCTACTGTGAGGTGTGGAGGTCTTAAGATGCCTTCAGGCAGTGCCATGAACTCCAAAAATGAAGGATGATCAGTGGATTTTTCTTTTTCTTTGCTCCTGTCATGATCTTTTTTAGTCTCAGGTCCATATCTTGTATGCTTCTAGGAGAGAGCATGCCCTTTTTTCTTTGGATCTACTCTGTGGATGCATTTGCTACTCACATTCTTGTTTACATAGACTTGTTTCTAGTGATGGAAGAAAACTTGGGATTCATACCAGTTCTTTCTTTTTTGTCTTTCATCCTATCTCTCTTGGGCTCCCTGTACACATAACAGGTACAGTGAACCTGTTAATTGCACTGGTACCTTAAGACCAACTACATGTGTAAAGTACTTTTCACAGGATAAAAGGCTTCAACCAGCTATAAAGTTAGACCTCAGATATATGTACTAACTTTATACCTGGTTGCTACTGAGCTTTAATCTGCATGTGTAGCAGGGTCTCTCCTGCAGCTGGGAGCTTGTCAGCTGACAGGGCTTCCAGCCACAGGGGTGCACCATACTCAGCGTGAAACCCCCAGTTTCTGCGGATCATAGCTGCCATAATCACCAGGGCCAAGAGATTTCACAACCCCCAAGCCCTGGGGGTTGCAGCTACCATGATCCCTCAGGCCCAGGGGTGCATGGGGCACCCCTGCAGCTGGGAGCCCCACAAATGAGGAGGCTCCCAACCATGGGAGCTTACTTCTTGCTGGTGTAGTGGGAGTCCACGATCAGGCTCCTTCTGCACTGGCATTAAGGTCTGATGGGATCTGATGCACAAGCCTGCAATTAAGCCTCCTGTTATGCATGTGTGGCATGGCAGGAGGAACAATTGTGTGGATTGTGCCTCAGATCTCATCACACTTTTACCTCCATATATAGAGGGGGCCTTGCTTTCTTTCATAATCTGTTATATGTCATTTCACTCCTTGGAAATGATGATTAGACATTAAGCACCCATTGTAGTGGCAGAAAAGTTTCATTGTAGTGGCTTTAAATCCGTCTTGAAACAGAGATTCCTTCTTTCAAACATGAATCTTCTATAGGTAGCAGCCCAGTATCAGAAAAAAAGTAGTTCAGTATGGAATTTTCCATTACATTTACTTGTACATTTTGGTATTAAAACTGAACACAGGACATTTAAGTTATGGATCAGGACACATTCTTGTGGAAGCAGAACACAAGGATCCTCTGGGGAAAGGCTGGTATGTGTCTGAACTGTGTCCAGCACAATGGGAGTGCTGTGATACAAATAATTATCACAAAGTTCTAGTGATCTCTGGTAGATTAGGGTTTATCTGTGATGGCTGATAGGAGTTCTACAACCAATATAGAAATGGAGGTACCAGCTCTAGTGGTATTATTTATAGAGGCACATTGACATCTCTGTCATTAGGTGACCATATTAATCAGAATAACAGGTTAGAGAGATAAGCCTATTGTTAACCTTTATAGTTGTCATTCATCTCCAAAAACAGGTTATGTTTTATGTCATAAAACAATGACATAAACTGTTTGCTGAAGGTTATTCTTAAAACTTCAGAAGCACTGATTTTCAATGTGACTTCTTTTTCTATAAGTCCTAGGAGATAGTTCTCCCACCAGTTGTTTTAATTTTTAGCACACATTTCTAGAGTTTTAAAGGATTATGAAGCATATGGAGTAGTTATCAATAGGGTCCTACTTAATTTACAACCAGACAAAGATTTTTTTGCAGCTTGGTTTTGCAGGCATTTCCCAGTGAGAGCCAATTTTGCAGGCATTTCCCAGTGGTCCTGATTGGTGGGAGGAAGAACGAGGTAGCAGCTGCCATCTTGACTGACGGTTCCCTTTGTGTTGCTTTACCAGCTGGCAAGCTCCCCTCGCAGGTGGACTGCAGGGCAGCAAGGACTGCTGGTTTCCACTGGGGAACACACATTTTATTTTTAAGGTGTTTTTTTTTTAAGTTGATTTTAGGGACAGTTGTGGATTTCACAAAATCTGTGAAATTGCGAGTTGAGTAAGTCCCTACTTCAATTGTTCAGTCTTTATATTATTCCATCCCAAACACCAGGAAAGAACAGCCCCACGTTTCTACAGTCTAGATGTTAAAATTTTGAACGAAAGAAAGAAGCAAGGCTCCATCTAAAAGCCCTAGTGTTCTTTAGGGGTAGATGGAGAGGTATGAGGAAGACATACAAAGTAGATTTCCATTCCTCTGAAGAGGATCAATGGTATTCTTTTGTAGGAATGTGTAAATGAGTTGTGTACCAAATAATTCATTAGATCACAAAACTCTGTTATATAGGGTGTATGGGCTGACACTTCAATTTCTATTATTCTGTTCCATATCTTAGAATCATAGCATCATAGAAAATTAGGGTTGGAAGGAACTTCAGGAGGTCATCTAGTCCAACCTTCTGTTCAAAGCAGGACCATCCCTAACTAGATCATCCCAGCCAAGGCTTTGTCAAGCTGGATCTTAAAAACCTCCAAGGATGGAGATTCCACCACCTCTCTGGGTTTTCATAGATTTCATAGACATTAGGGCTGGAAGGGACCTTGGAAGATCATTGAGTCCAGCCCCCCACCCCAGGGGCAGGAAGTCAGCTGGGGTCAAAGGATCCCAGCAAGATAAATGTCCAAATGTCTCTTAAAGAAGTCCAGAGTAGGTGCTTGCACCACCTCTGCCGGCAGTCTGTTTCAGGCCCTGGGGGCTCGGACTGTAAAGAAGTTCTTCCTTATGTCCTGTGTGGCAGGGCACTGTTTGTGCCTGCCAATTTAAGGGCCTGAAGCCAGCAGGTGCCTGATTAGGGCAACCATTTTGGATTCAGGGCTGCCCATATAAACAGGGCATTTTGCTGCTGGAAGGCCAGACAACAATATCACCTGGCTGCAAGGCTGCTGGTATCATCTGGAGGTAAGGGAGGAGCTGTAGAGGATGGTTTAGGAGGCTCCTGGTCCTGGGCATGACCTAAAACTGCACCCTGCCGGGAGTGGGTGGCCTGGTGGGGCTCTCAGTGGCGTGGGAGCCCCCAGTGGCATGGGAGGCCAGTTACCACCCCGGTGAAAGGTGGGTTAGGGCGCCTTAACTCCAGCTCCCATCTTTGGGTGCGTCAGGTGACAATGGAGGTAGAGGGGGCCAGGCACAGCTACAGCCACCTGAGGCCACCCAAGGAGGGAAGCCCCGAGACCCTGAGTGAGGGGGCTTCATGGGGCCCCGAGTAAAGGGGGAGAAGAATCAGAGGGCTGAGGGCCCAGTACACATACAGACACTGCGTGTTACCCTGAAAGGGGCCTGAGTGTGCTTAGACCCGGTTGGGTAATTGGCTGGCCACTACCCTGGTGAGGGTCGTGGGAGAGGCCCAACAGACTGTACATCTGCCACCCAGGGAATGGACTAGCTAAGCCTATGGCCAAAGGGTGCCCACTTCAAGAGGGAGCAAGGCAGCATAAGTTGTCGACGTGAGAAAGAGACCCTGTGAGAGAGGGTGGAGTGAGTGAGGCCTGAGTGAGAGGTGGGCGGTACAACTGTGTGTGACTGAGGCCTGATGGCGTGGCCTAAGCATGTTCCAGCTTTGGGCCGGGGGCACTGTAACATCTGGGTGCCATCTGTGAGGCTTGGGCTGTAGCGTAGGGGAGGTACAGAGCTGCGGACACCCCCAAATATGGGGGTGCAATAAGGGTCAGCCTTGCACCTTATTTAACAGCATAGTATTAATCCAACAAGGCATGGCAGGCGAGACAGGCGGGCGGCATGCCCAGAGGCAGGTGGGGGCTAGCTGCGGCTAGTAGGGATATCCACTTTGCCACATCCAGCCTGAAATGGTCTTGGAGGAGTTTGTGACCGTTTGATCTTGTCATCCCTTGGGGCACTCTGGTGAACAGGCATTCCCCCAGATCCTGATGTACATCCCTTATATACTTAGAGGCAGCCACCAGGTCCCCCCTGAGCATGTGCTTCTTCAGGCTGAAGAGTCCCATGGCTCTCACCCTCTCATCATAAGGCCTGTTCTCCTGCCCTCTGATCATGTGCGTGGCTCTCCTCTGGACTCTCTCAAATTGCTCCACAGCTTTTTTGAATTGTGGAGCCCAGAATTGGATTCAGTACTTCAGCTGCAGCCTGACCAAGGCGAAGTACAGTGGGAGGATGACATCTTGGGATTTGCTAGAGAAGCATCTATGGATGCAAGCCAGAGTTTTGCTTGCTTTACCAGCTGCAACATTACATTGGTGGCTCATGTTCATCTTGTGGTCAGTCATGACCCCCAAGTCCCTTTCAGCCATGGTGCTAGCACTGCCGAGCCTATAAGCATGCTGTGGGTTTTTCTTCCCAAGGTGAAGTACCTTCCATTTTTCAGTGTTGAACACCATCAGGTTTTCTTCTGCCCATTTTCTGAGCCTGTCAAGGTTGGCCTGGATCACCATCCTGTCCTCGGGTATGTACACTTTACCCCAAAGTTTGGAGTCATCAGCGAACTTGGTCAGTCTGCTTCTGACTGTTCTGACCTGCTCCAGTGGTTTACTACCCTCCTGCCGCACATTTGGCGGCATATTCCACTTTAACGACATTGCTGTTCCTAATCACCTTCTTCTCCTCCATGTGCTTAGAAATGGATTCCTTGAGGATCTGCTTGCTGATTTTTCCAGCTACTGAGGTGAGGATGACCAGTCTGTAGTTCCCTGGATCCCCCTTTTTCCCTTTCTTAAATATGGGCACTATATTTGCCTTTTTCCAATTATCTGGGACCTCTCCTTATAGCCATGAGTTTTCAAAGATGATGGCCAGTGAGTCCGCAATCTCATCAGCCAACTCCCTCAGCACCCTTGTGTGCATCCTGTCTGGCCCCATGGACTTGTATATGTCCAGCTTTTCTAAATAGTCCCTAAGCTGTCCTTTCACCACAGCTGGCTGCTTGCCTTCTCTCCAAACTGCTACATAGTGTAGTAATCTGGGAGCTGATCTTGCCTGTGAAGACTGAGGTAAAAAAGGCACTGAGTACTTCAGCCTTTTTTGCCTCCTCTGTCACCAGGTTGCCTCCCCCATTCAGTAAAGGACCCACACTTGACCCAACCTTCCTCTTGTTTCTGACATGTGTAGAAGCTCTTGTTACCCTTCACGTCCCTTACTGGTTGGAAGTCCAGTTGTACTTTGGCCTTCCTGACTTCATTCCTGCATGCCCGACCAATGCTCTTATACTCCTCCCTAGTTGTTTGTCCAAGTTTCCGCTTTTTATAAGCTTCCTTTTTGTGATATAACTACTGAAAAGTTCTCTGCTAAACCAGGCTAGTCTTCTGCCATACTTGCTAGTCTTCCTGCACATTGGGATAGTTTGTTCCTGCACTCTCAGTAAGTTTTCTTTAAAGCACAGCCAGCTTCCCTAGACTCCTTTCCACCTAAGAATGGCTAACGGGCAGGGCTTAGTCCTAGAGTCTCCTTCAAGACCACTGGATCATGTCTGAATTTCAGAAGTGGAGGACATTAACCCATTAGTAATGAATAAGGAGATAAACTGCCAATAGAAAATAATTATTTTTTGAAACAAGTCTTATAATTCTTTGTCATTATGCTTTTAGAGAACACTTGCACTGCCTTTTAGAAAAGATAGTTAACCATATTAGTTTTATGCCCTATAAATGAAACTGGTAACAAAATCAGCAAGTTAATTTTTTTTAACAAATGTTTCTGAGCAGAAAATTAACTTTTAATGAAATTCTTTCTGTTTGCATCCTAATTTGTTTTGAAATTGGTATAACAATATATATTTTTCCAAAAAAAAAATTAAATAAAAATATGGGAAATCTACTACTAAATCCATTATTTTAAATCAATTAAAGGTGCCGCAAACTTCCCAAAGGACTTAAAAACTGGCAGGCATTCTTAGATCTCAAGAAAAGAATAGATAATTTTAGTGAATCATGCCCTTTGTTGGAAATGATGACCAACAAAGCGATGAAACAGAGACACTGGAATCGTATTGCTGAAACAACAGAACATCCTTTTGATGTGGAATCTGATTCTTTTTCTCTTCGAAATATCATGGAAGCACCACTTCTTAAACATAAAGAAGATATTGAAGTAAGTACACACATTGCTTTCCATTCCTTTATTATCATCAACAGGACAAGTGAGAGGGCTTGGTATGTATGCCTTTGTGTCAAGCAAGGGGGTATGCCAGGCTGTGAGCTTGTCTCAGTCACTGGAGCAGTTGAGTTTAGTATGAGTTACAAACAAGATGCATGGAGGTGTGGGGAGTACAAGAAATACAGCTCCATAGAATGCAAAAGAGCCAAGGAATGCCCTCTTTCACCATATATAATTGCACAAGCATTCCTGGTGGTGTTGGCAAGAAGTTGCTGCATGAAAGTGTTGAAGTAGAATTTATTACCCCTCAGTGGTGGGAGTGGGCCAGGAAGGTAGGTTATACAGATTGCACCATGGCACACCTGTCTGATTAAAGATCAAGCAAAGCTTTATTGGCTACGCATGCATGCATGCACATGCACACACACACACAGAACTAAGCAGCAGTGCAAAGTGAATCTCACCACGCTGCATCAGTCCTGGGTGGGTTTAATAAGAGGTCTCAATCAGCTGGCCATACTGAGATAAGGCTCCTAGGTTCCTGTGTCTGCATTGATCACCCAATGTTTCTTGGGATGCAGTCCAACAGAGAGACAACTTCATTGTCCTTTGCTGGTTCTTTTATTACTTGCTGTGACATCATCATTGCTAGGCAGTTGCTACCCTATTTTTTTTTTAAGCAGTTCTCTCTTTCTCAGCAATATTTACAATTACACTCTCCTGCTTAGATACCATAAACCTGTTGTTCTTAATTTCCCAAGGTTGGTTTTTGGTTTTTATCCTTCTACTGGGACTTCTTGACCTGACTTTTTCCCTATCTGCTGTTTGTTTGTTTTGCTAAGTCTCCGGATGTAAGTGCAAAACTGAAAACCAGCTATCTGAGCCAATCTGGGACTCATCCAGAGGATTCTGGGTGGTCTAGCTACTCAAGTCAAGTAGCTGCAATAAACCTGTATTTTCCACTCTGTAGGAAGAGCTAGTACTTTCTCATGAATGTGCTGTATTTTCTCTGTGAGATACTTCATGACCACCTGGATCATATACGTACAGGTGTATGATCACAGTTTGCAATGCTAGAGCAGCATAATTCTCACTAGAAATATAATGTGTGTCCATGGCCTCAGTGAGCATAACTTAAAAATTATCACATAACTAGCAAATTGCCCATCAAGAATGATGGGGAAAGAGGGGATGGAGCCTTGTGCATCTCCTCCCCCGCCTTTGGGTCTGACCCTGCCCCCTCTCCCCTCTGGTTCAGGTCCAACTCCATTCCCGCCCCCATTCAGGTCCGACCCTGGCCCCCCCAGTTGAGTCCGAACCCACTTCACCCCTACCCCGCTGCCTCCCACCCTTCCAGTTTGGGTCCAACCCCACCTCACCCCCATCCCCCCTGGTTCAGACCCCCAGGGTCTGACCCTGCCACCCCTTCCCTCCCTCTTCCCCCTGGTTTAGGTCCAACCCTGCCCCACCCCCTTCATTTGGATCTGACTCTGCTCCTCCCCTGTTCGGGTTCAACCCCGCTCCACCCCCTCCCACTGGTTTTGGTCCAGCCCCCCCTGGGTTCAGGTCTGACCCTGCTCCCCTTCTCCCCCCACCCTTTGGGTCTGGCTCGAGACCAATAGAAGGGCTCCTGCCTTTCCTCAGCTAGCCCCACTGCTTGTAAAGTGCTTGTGCCAATTTTTTTTTTTTTTTTTTTTGCCATGTGTGAGGTGGGGTGGAGGGAACCACTACACTGGAGGCTTCCATTTAAATTCAGCTGGCCCTGCCCCCAGCTGCCCAGCCGGCACAGCCAACTGGGACATGAGCAATTGGGCAAAAGTGTTACAGGCAGACAGACAGACAGACAAAGACTTTTATTATATTAGAATATTACCATATGGCAAGTATGTAGAAACTATAATATAGAAATTACCTGGTGTTTTCAATACCAAAAAAGGGACTCCAGAACTGGATTAATAGCTTCCCGTTTTCCAGACCCAATTTTCAGGTTTGCTTCCTGTACATTTTAAAAACACATTTAAATTCTGTGAACTTTCAGTTAAAATAGCAGAATGTTCCTCCTCATCTCTATACTTCATGTGTTAAGAGTATTCCAGCCATAATTCCAGATCTGGTTTGTATTTACATGTGAAGAATCTAAAAAAAAAACAAAAAACCTTTTTGTTTCAGGATATTTGCATATCTGCTATAAAGGAAAAAGATATTGAAGCCAAATTGTCTCAGGTAGTTGAAAGCTGGGGAGGCCAGAGCCTGAGTTTTTCAGCATTCAAAGGAAGAGGAGAACTATTGTTAAAAGGAACTGAATCATCAGAGATTATTACAATGATGGAGGATAGTTTAATGATTCTGGGCTCTTTGCTCAGCAACAGGTAATTTTAAATGTTTTTTGTGTGGTATTTTAAGGTTTGGAAGCATTTATAAATAAGCACAACTTTAATTAAAGTCAGCGACTATTTCACTAGACCCCCTCTACAAATGCAGGTAAAGGTGTAATGGGATCTAACATGCAATCCACATAATCACGCCTCTGCTATGCCATATATGCATGGCAGGAGGTACGATTGATTGTGGGATTGTGCATTAGATCTCATTGCTCCTTATTGCCAGTGCAGGGGGAGCCTAATCCCAGACTCCCCCTGCACTGGCCAGAAGTAAGCCCCTGCATCCCCGTGACAGCCTCAGTCCCCAGGGCCTGGTGGTTTCACATTCTGCCAAGACCTGGGGATCACAGTTGCCTCAATCCCTAGGGTTTATACACTGGACATGAGGCTGCCCTGTGGCTGGGAGCCCTGTTAGGTGATGGGGCTTCCAGCTGCAGGGGAGACCCAGCTACATGTGTAAATTGAAGCTTGATAGCAACCAGCTATAAAGTTAGTAAACACTTTTGAGGCCTAACTTGATAGCTGGCCAGAGCTTTTTATTGTGTGATACTTGTGTAGATGGAGCCTTAGATTCATACTTACTTAGCATTAAATGTTAGTTACATCAGATGACAAAAACTGCTGTCAAGGGAGATTTTTGTACAGTATTGGAAGTCTCCTGTGTTGATACATTTGAGTGAAATCAAGTTGGTGTACAGATTTAAGATAATTTTTATGCTCCAATTATTCCATATTTTTTCCTTCCTTCTGAAAATATTTTACATTGTTACTTTATGATATTTTATAATAGTTTACATTTACTTTAAAGTTTTTCTCATTTCTTGTTCATGGTTTTAGATACAATACACCATTTAAAAAGGAAATTCAGAACTGGGTTTACAAACTAACCACCTCCAGCGATATCATTGAAGAATGGCTGGTTGTGCAAAACCTCTGGGTTTATCTTGAAGCTGTTTTTGTAGGTGGAGATATTGCAAAACAGTTACCTCAGGTAAATTTATAATATTTTTATGTTTGTGTGTTTTTAAGCTAAGCAGTAATTTGCAGTTGAGGGTAGAGTGAAAATATTAATTCAGTTGTCATATTTAGGAAGCAAAACGTTTTCAGAACATTGACAAATCGTGGATAAAAATAATGCAGCGAGCTCATGAGAACCCAAATGTCATTAACTGTTGTGTTGGAGATGAGACAATGGGACAACTGCTACCTCATTTACATGAGCAGCTGGAAGTGTGTCAGAAGTCACTTACAGGGTATGAAAAGTTTCTTAAAAACGTCATTATAAATAGTTTGCATAAAGTGAGTAACAATTTTATTCAATTACAAATCAAACATAAAAAAGTTGCTCTCATAGCACGTAACTAAGAAACTATTTTACTAAGTTATATGCTTTCACATACTGCAGTCATATGCTATAGTCTCAGTAGGAAAACAGTCCTGTAATATTTATTCTGTTAGATCTCTTCAAAACTCCTTATGTGATTGATACAGCTAGATATTATCCCAAGATACTGATAAAATGTGAAGGGGAAAGTGTGTCTTCAAGTAGATTTAGACATCCATACTCCTCTTCTCATTCAATGGAATATTTTAAATAGATTTTAATGTATTGGAAGGCAGGCAGACAAAACAGCATCAGTTCTTTATGACCTTGATTCAACAAAACATTTAAACATATGTATAAAGTTTAACTTGTGCTTAAATCAGAGCCTATGTCATTCTATTCTGAATAGTCTTTGTTGTTAGAAAGTCTTGTGCTTGATCCCACAAATCACTTTCCCATCATTTTTTAATTCCACACTCAAAGTACATTCGTGCCCCGAAGTAAAAACCTGTACTTCAAATATCCTCTCAAAGAATTACATTTACTGGCAAGAACATCTTATTTATATGTATTAATATCTCATATTCAGACAGTGAGCTATATCCTTTCATATTTTGGACCCCGATTCAGGAAAGCTTCATGTTCAGGATAACACTTAAGCCTGTACTTTTCAGGATATTGCTGTTCTGAAAGAGATTGATTCTAGCATGTCCCTAAGTTCTTTTATGAATTGTGGCTGGAGTGTTTTAACTGTAAAAGGATTAAGGGCACATGGGGTTTTTTTTTTGTTTTTGTTTTTTTTTAAATGTATGTTCTACACTTTTTCAGTTTTTTCTCAGGAGTGTTTTAACTGTAAAAGGATTAAGGGCACATGGGTTTTTTTTTTTGTTTTTTTTGTTATTTTTTAAATGTATGTTCTACACTTTTTCAGTTTTTTCTCAGAGGAAACTGAAACATTTTGTAAAAAAAAAAAAAAAAAATCTTATTTAATAATTAAGGTATTTAGAGAAGAAAAGGCTACTGTTTCCCAGATTCTTCTTTGTCTCTGATCCTGCCCTTCTTGAAATTCTTGGACAAGCAAGTGATTCACACACTATTCAGGTAAATCTTGATTGATTTTTCTAGCTTAGCAAACCAAGAGAGACATGAAGGAAGTTTTTTAATAAATAAAACCTAAAAGCTGCAAAAAATAAATGTAATATAAATATTTATAATAATGTTATAAATAATTGTATTTTATAATTTATTAAAATAATTTAATACTAAATATAGATGCAGCACCTTATACATTTAGTATTCTTGAGAACCTTATTCAGTACAAGTGTATTAAATATATATAGTTAAAACATTGCACAAAGTTCACTGAATTAGGACACAAATAAATGCACTGCTGTATGCTCTGTGCCGTGTAAAATGCTATTTTCAACATTAAATGAAGAGTGAATTTTCTAATATGTGCTAATATTGTGTGTAATTATTTGAATTATTACTTGTATACTTTTGAATTACTTTCTGAATTTTCCTATAGCCACACCTGCCTTCTATATCTGACAATGTGAATGAAGTTCAATTTCATGTGAAGGATTATGATCGCATATTGGCAGTCATATCAAGGGAAGGAGAAAAAATTCCTGTAATTGTCTTATTGTAATATTTTTTGTAATCTTTTAAATGTCTTGCTATATAAAGAAACCATTACATTATGTACTGAGGATATTTGGTTAAATAAATTAAGTTATTCTTAATATATGAATTAACTGCCAAATGATTAATAATACACTCAGAATATATTTTAGTTATTTTAAAAATATTTATTATTGATTTTTAAAAGTAAAAGCCATCATTGTTTAAAAATGCATGTAAAATATATAATATAGAAATAATCACATAGTTACATACAATTTAATATGCTTAACGTGTATTTAATTTTTCAGCTGGATACTCCAGTGAATGCAAAAGGACCTGTAGAGCTTTGGTTGCTAGATTTATTGCGTGTGCAACAGTCTTCATTACATGGTATAATTAGGGCAGCATATTACCAAATTAGTGATTCAGGGTACCAACTACTGAACTTCCTTAATCATTTCCCAGCACAGGTGAGAACTAAATGTGTGTGTATAGACAATAATAGATAGATAGATAGATATATAAAAATTATTCTTCACTCAGTGTTAAACAATTATTATTCTCAAGAGCTCTACTTAATAAAAGACATGGAGGTTAGGAGAAGGGGGAAAAAAAAAAACAAAATCAGGTGGTCTTAGAGAAATTGTTACAATTTCATAATATTTTAATAACACGGTGCACTCAGAGGAGATAGACTGTGACAGATTCTTATGACAGTATTTTTGTTGGATCCTGCTATCAGGAGCGTGTCCTTGATTGTAACCAGGTGTCTTTTTCAGCCACTTCAGTGGTTGCTGTCTTCATATGCAGCAAGTTGACTTTATTAAAGTGACTTCTATATATCCCATGTATATCTGTACTAGAAACTATATCTGGACACTTTCCAGGATAACCTTTGTCCTTCACTTGCATCTTATTTTCTCTTTGCTGACAACATCCAAGATTCAAAACATGAGTAGACTATGAGAAAAGACAAGGAAAAAGAAATGCACTTTGGCCAAACGTGTTTCTAAAAGAAGGAAGAAAAATGGTCAATACAGGAATACGCAGTTAGCAAGTGACTGATTTATAATTCCAAAACACTGAGATTCTTTTCTTTGAACAAAGCAAAGAAAAGAATAACCCTCTCCTCAGTAAGAATACATGTAAAAAGAAAAGCATAAAGCCAGTGAGCTTGATTTTCAATTGCTCTTTTCTTGTCCTTGGTGAGCAGATGGAAAATAAGATTTAAAGATTATTTTTTTAGTCACAGAATTTCTCTTATATTGGGGCTGTGCAGGTGCCTGTTTGGCTTTTATTTTAAATTAGAGCAACCCTGAAGCTGTAACAAACTCTGGCTCCCTTGGCCTCCAGTGGAGAAGAAAGTAGCTGTAGTACTACACATTTCAGCCATTCCCTCAACATATTCCCAGTCCTTTCACCATTCTGTGGGCTGGGAATGGGACTTGCATGATGTCCTTTAGAATCGTTACACCATCTCTGCGCTAAGGGATACTCTCAGGGGAACATTTCTAAATACTTTAAGACCATTTAATGCTTTCAGAGCAGCTTAAAAGGGACCTTAAGTTTAACTGAGAGACAGTGAAGCCCACACACACATTGAGAATGAATGACTGAGATAATGGCTAAAAAAGATAAGGTTATTTCGGGGGTGGGTTGAATATTTGTGAACTATGAACTGATAAAGATGTGTACTCTAGAAATCCTTTATCATTAGTGAGAAACTATTTTTGAATCATTCCAATTATTCACCCTAACATATAATCAGAGACTAGGATGCTCAAGCCATTTATTATGAATTTGTGAGGTCAGCAAAACCTCATTTGCATATGTATTTACTTGTTAAATTTATAGGTAGGATTATTAGGAATTCAGATGATGTGGACTCATGATTCTGAAGAAGCCCTACGCAGTGCAAAAGATGACAGGAAAATCATGCAAGTAACCAACCAGAGATTTCTGGATATTCTGAATACACTTATCAGTCAGACAACCCATGATCTTTCCAAATATGATAGAGTGAAATATGAAACTCTGGTCACTATTCATGTGCATCAGCGAGATATTTTTGATGACTTGGTAAAGTACATATTTTAATTTCTGAAAGTTAAATGATGTTTCTGTTATAATGATAGTATTTCCTGTGCCTAGTGCTTTTACTCCAAGAATCTGAGACTGCATTTGCATGCAATATTGAAATATCATTTCTCTCTCCCGAGTTAAGATGGCATTTAATTTTTGCTTAAACCAAACAAAAAAATCCATGTTTCGGACTATAATAAATGAATTTAGTCTTCAAATTTTCACAGATATTCTTCTTAATCTATTTGAATTGTTTGCTATTTTAGAAGATCTCAAAATGTTGGCAGAGGCATTTTTAAAATGTCCCCCTTTTTATATTGGTGTCACAATCTAAGCAGTGTAGTAGAAAAAGATAAAATAAAATACCATACAGAAAAATTGGCTGACATTTGGAGGCTTTTGTGTGCATTAGAATAGATGAGGTTCTGAGAACCTGAGGGACAGATGTGGGATTGCATGCCGTTGCAATGGTTGAGAGTCTGGTTCTGAGCAGTTTCCCTTTATTTATTCATTAATTAGAGCCGGATGCCATCTTAACCATTTAAGAGACTGATAATTTGGGTTATAGGTGCAATGACTCCCCACCACTCCTTCACCCTTAGGCTTCTCTCCCTAACTAGTGGGTTTCCTACGCCCACCCGTCAGTTTAATAACTTCTGTGCTTATAGTCTCCCTGTATTCCTCATATTCCCCTTATAATGAAACTGTAGGGTTCTTGGGGCTGTGGACATGGAAACACTTAAGGGAGGAAGAGGAAAGGCTGAGTTGGAAGGAGGGTGAGGAGCTGACAATACTGGGAAGTAAGTACACTCAAGAGCAAGAGGGCTTGAGAGAAGGAGCAGAAAACTGAGATGTGAAGGAGCCGGGTTGTGAAGATAGGATGAGGTAGGGCTTTTTACTGCCCAACCTAACAGTTTAGTACCATTTAATTTTTGCCCCCCCACCATAGTCCCTGCTACTCTTCAATCCTAGGTGGCTCACATTAACATTACAAGGGAATGTCAATTTTCCTTAGTTTTACAGAAGAGGAGCTCTTCTTTGAATCCTGTGAGTTTATCAGTCTGTGACTGCTACTTTTTGCCTTTATAAAGCTAGTGAGACTCTTGAGGCAATGGGGAAAAAGCCAGGATTATGGTGGCAAAGGGAGGAAGAAAAAGAAGTAGAGCTGGGTAGAAAAATTGACTGGGTTACAAGGAACAAACTTCACCAGCTCCCTCGATCTCTGCTCTCTGGCACTCCTTATTTGAAAAAGCAAAAGGATCTATACATTTGGAGAGACTGACAGGGAACTTTGAGAAGCTTGGAAAGGAATCAACAGTGGATTGCTGAGATACAGTGAACAAAGGACAAAAATCTGGGGTCACAAGAGCTGGTGTGGTACAAAGGACCAGATAGCTAGTAGGCAGTGGCATAACTAAGGCAGGGCTAACAGGGCAAATGCCCTGGGCATTTGGAGGGGAGTGAAGAAAAAGTGGCTACTGATGGCAGCTGTGATGACAATTGCAATCACATGACAACCGTAAATCACTGCTGCTTTTGTGCTCCAGGCACCCAGCTACATCCCTGCTACTGCTGGTAGACATAGAAACCAAAGAGGGTTAAGGGCTAGAATTAAGATCCAATTTTTGTGAATTCTCCTTTGCATCCCATTAAAAGCTTTCCTGTTTGGTGTAGCATTATACATGCTATTACAGTCTGTCCTGTTAAAGTAATTTGAGCTATAATGTAAATGAGTGATAGGTTTTTTAATAACAATTTTAACACTCAAAATACTCTTTTAATATTCATGTTTTTTAAACTTACATTCTTTATTCGGTGCTAAAATTTGAAACAGGAAACAGGTCATTTTGCAGGTATAATGAAATGTATTATATAGTCCTAAGATTATATTATTCTCTATTGTTCTACTAGAGATGCTCATTATACAAGCAATGTCAAAGATGCAGTCATGAGATACTGTAGGCATTCAATTTATGTTTTATTTTTCTTTTTAAGGTAAAAATGCATATCAAGTCAGTAAGTGATTTTGAATGGCTAAAGCAGTGTAGATTTTATTTTAAGGAAGATTTTGATCAAGTTTTAGTATCCATTACAAATGTTGATTTTGTTTACCAAAATGAATTTTTGGGATGCACTGATCGTCTGGTTATAACTCCTCTAACTGACAGGTGAGAAACAATGGATTTCTTAAAAACATGCCTCTTCTATAACATGCAGGATGTTTCTTTTCTATAATGAGATCTTCACAGAGCTATACTCTGAATTACTGTAAATGTAAAACTATATGTTAAATGAGCACATGATGAACTTCTGCTTGTGTGTGTGTTGAACTGTATTTTTTTTTAACTTCATAAAATAATAGCTCTCTTTCTGCATATTTGATAGTTCCTACAAAAATATAGTGATTTCTGCCCATATCAACAATAATTTAAATAGCAGATTTGCATTTATATTTATTGGTGTTTATGTATACACACACTAATTTGTTTACTTATGTATACCATTTCATGCATGGATAACTTGAGATAGAATTGGTCTTTAAGACTCAAAATTCCCATGAGCTTTGTTTAACACTGTAACAGGGCATCAGATATAGTGTCTGTTTTATAGGGGGGGAAAAAGGGGATATGCCATTGAGAACAAAGAAGAAAACTTACCGCAGCCAGACCAAAGTGGGAAAAGCAGAATGATGTTGGGCACCGGGAGCCCAGGTATTCCCAATGAAGCCCTGTCCAGATCCCAGCAGGACCTCACGTGGAAGCAGGGATCAGGCAGATTGGTTACTGGAAGAGGAGCCAGGAGGTAAAAGGCAGGCAGGGGAAGAGGCAGTTTTCCCCAAAGGGCAGGGGCCAGCTGAAGAAGATGGTGCCGTGATGAGGAGAGAAGCAGAAGCAATGAACTAAGCAACATCAGAGCCTGGTACTCACTGAAGCTGCAGGAGCTGAAGCGATATTTGGAAGGAGTAGGCGAGAGTGGTCTGGGTGAGCACCGAGCTAGGGAAGGGTCTGCCTGTGGGCAAAGAGCCCAAATGAGCCAGAGTGAAGAGCTGCGGGGAGGCAGGCAAACTCCTCAACCCTCCTTATCTAGGGAGAGAACTCAGGGAAGAGGATTGGCAGCTGTCACGGCACAGGGTCCTGCAGGATGGCCGTGATCTCCCCAAGGCCCCCTTACTGTGCCAAGTTGGCCCAAAAGGCACCCTCGATTCTTGCCCGCCATATCTTTCCTGTTAAATATATATTAGGGAGGCTGCCTTTACATCTTCTTGGACACGGTTTTGCTGTATTCTGACCCCGTGGGCTCCTGGACCCCTTGTGGGTCCCATTCTGCAATGGGTGTTTCGGGGCACCCTAGCCTTATGGGCCATGCGTAGCTCCAACCAGCCCTTTACCATGCCCTAAGCCTCGCAGATGGTACTGACATTGTTGGTCTGTGCCTTGTTATAATTTAGCCCCCTTGTCCTCCCCTGGGCCCTCCGTGGCCCTGTCTCGCTCTGTGCCCTCACCGGTGCTCGGGATCAGTGCACCCCCAAAATACTGCGCCCTCTCTGGTGCTCAGGGTCCCTACACTGCTGTGGGTCCCCTCTGAGGCCTCCTCCATCCCCTAATAGGCTCTCCCAAGCCACTGGTCTTAAACAGCAAACAAAACACAAGCCCCTGGGCTATAACATAAATTCAAGCCACCCGGCTAGAATATCATTCAAGCCGCCCCAGGGGCACTCCATCCCTCACTAGTACCTGAGGCTGTACCTGCAGTCAGGCCGCTCCCCTTTGCTTGCTCTGGGAGAGCTCCTTCCCCCTTGATTGCTAGCAGGAAACTGCCAGCCTGGCCTCAGCTGTGGGGTTTAAATGGGAGCCAGGCCCTGCCCCTTCCAGTGAGCTGACTGCTGGCAGGTGTGGGTCACTAGCTAGCTCTGGTTGCCCTGGCAACCAGCAGCTGGAGCCCCTCACTCACTGCTAGGGCTATTTCCCTAGCAGTTTCCCCTCTTTAAAAGGAGCAGGGCACCTAAGTGCTCTGCGACAGCAGCCAACAGTAGAACTATAGGCAGCTGCCTAAATTACTAAGGAATCCCGGAGGCTGTGATCCTGAGGATTTAAAGGGCCAGCTTACACAAATGGATGAGTGGAGGACTTGTGTTTAATACTCATTGGGGCTGTGAAGCAAAGAGCCTAATACAAGGGAGGGCAGCAGAATGCCATCTCCCTAGGGATAGTTGCAACGGGACAAAAGGGGACTCTCGTGACCTTGAGATCCCACCAGATGAAGAGAGAGGGATGAAGCACCCAAAGTGACACCAATGGCCAGGACAGCACAGGTATTGTCAGGACAGGGTGAAGGGGAGGTAAGAGGCCTGTGAAGAGACTACAGTCATAAGGCATCTTAAGGAGAAACACCTGCTAAACTGTCCACTTTTTCATTATATCTATTTTTTCATCAAGGTGTGGTAGATGAGTAAGAAGAGCATCAAAAGTATGCATTAGGGATTAAGAGCATCACATTAGGGTGTGGGACCTAAATATCTAAAGGAGAATATTATTTAAAGAAATTTCCTTAACTTGCAAAGTGAAAAGCCATATAAATGCATGTTTTATGACGTTTTTGGCTTATTAGGAAAAAGAGGATAAGAAGAAGGAAATTGAGTCCTAGGAGTCAATGAAGCTGTATCTTTTTTCTTGATTTCATTCAATACAGCTTTGATATCATTTAACTTTCTGAAAGAAATTTTTGACATCCAGGTGTCAGCAATTAAAAACATCCTGCAAATTGATTTGCTAAAAGCTAAGCAGAAGATAAAAATAGCTCTTCTAATTAATGAGATCATGCTTGACCAACTAACTGTCATTGGTTCACCCTTAACTTCATCTCTGTTTTAGAGGAAAGGTTTGCTGTACAATTTCTGCACCAAGGATTGATGCATTTCATGGATACTGATCTTTCCACAGCTCCAGGACATTTGGGCAATACCTCTTTTCTTGCTGATATTGAACACAGTTCAGATTTGTCCATGGTGGTTTCTTTCACCCATACTCCATATTTCATTTGCCTTCAGAGTGGCAGCTAAGAACCCTTGTACTTTTATTTCTTCATGCCCTTCTTTTAAAGCTAAATATGGAAAATGAGTGAGCAGTATTTTCCCTTGGGGTGGGAAGGAAGGTTATTCCTTCTGTTTTGCCAGATTTGTTGCTGTGTTTATTACCTTCCTCCCCTTCCTAATGTTGCGTACCTGGCCAAAGGAGTAAAGGAAAGGAGAAGAGATCCCTAATTGGCAAAAAAAATCCTCTCAGGAGGCACAGAAAGAGTAGTCTCTCCCAGTTGCTCTCACCTTTTCCACTTCTGCTCTTCCAGGGGCAGAGCCCTAAAGTATATTCTTCTTGTATTGTTCACAAGACTTAAGACTCCTCTAATGATTCTAGACAAGAATAGCTTAGTCTTCTGCTCTTCGGGCACAGTAAATTAGACCATTTTCATCAATCAAGAAATTTGAGGAGCAAGTCTCAAATTCTGCCCAAACTTTCCAATCAAAAGAAACTCCAGGTCACATTCAAGTGGGTGTTGTTAAGTGGGTAATAGAATCAGTAAGGAATTCAGCCTTGCAGTGACTATGGATAATAATTAGTCATCATGTTTTTTCTGGCAACCTATCAAATTTATGAAAATTATTATCGTGTTACTGCTTAATCTTCTTTTCTCCAGACTAAATGTATCCAGCTCAACTTTTTAAGACCCCTAGAAAGAAATAGGAATGGGCATAAGGGCTTCTACGACTGGAGCCAGAGCCAGTACGGGAGCAAGAACCAGAGTGGGAGTCTGAACTGCAGTAGTGAGGGCCAGGGGTCCTGGCCATAGCTGGAACTAAATGGGTAGGCTGCTTTCCCAGCAGTCAGTCAGGAGGCCCTACTAGTGACCAACTGGAATCATTAGCTGGGGTAAGGCTACCAGTCAAATCATTGACTGGGTCAGGATAGGTGAACAGAAGCAGAGGACAAACAGGATCAAGAAGCCAAGAGGTCAGTCTGAGAGTGGGGTCTAGGAGCAAGCCAAGTCAAGAAGCCAAGATATCAAGCAGAGAATGGGGTTGAGAAGATAGCCAGGTTGAGAAGCCAGGAGATCATGCAGAGAGCAGAGTCTAGGAAAAGGCTAGGTCAAGAAGCCGAGAGATCAGGTAGATTGGAGTCAAGGTGAAAGTGACTGCAAGGCAGTCTTGGGTCAGGTTGAATCCTGACAGACACTTCCTATTCCTGCACAGGGGACTGGAGGGGGAAGTGGAAGGTCATCTGACCCTGATTGGCCTCTAGTGACAGGGTGTTTAGGCCCTGTTCGATGCTTCAGGCCAGCTTTGCCCTGTCTAGGTTGTCAGTGTTGGAGTGGCAGGCCTGGATGAGTGACTGTGTTGGTCTGGCTGTGGTCCCAGATTCAAGGTGGTGGCTTGACAACTCTTATTCATTTTGTGCCTGTGCATTTGGTTTTTCTTTCCTATATGAAATACGTTACATTTTTCCCTTGATGAATTTCATTTTATTTTTCACTGCCCAGATGTCCAATTTATTGAGATAATTTTGGATTACAATTCTGTCTATAAGTATATAACTTCCTACCCAGATTTGTATAATGTGGACATTTGGTGAATTGACTCTTCACTCTTTCACTCAAGTCATTAATAAAAATGTTGAACCAGTGCTAGACTCAGAATTGATCTCTGTGATAACCCACTGAGTACCTCCTTCCAGTTTGATACTGATCTCTTAATTACTGCTCATTGCCTATGGTCCTTCAACCAAATTTTATCCACCATATAGTCATTTCTTTTTGTCCATGTTTTGTTGAAAGCAAATTCATGCCGGCTGGTGGGAATCACCTTTTTGTCTTCTAGATGCTTACAGAATGGATTGTTTTAGAATTCATTTAAATAACTTCCAGAGCTGAAGTCAGGCTGACCAATTTATAAGTCTCTGAGTTTACCCTTTTTACTTTTAAAAGGCAGACACTCCATTTGCTTTCATTCTTCTACAACCATGCTTGCCTATTTTGAATTCTCAAAGGTAATTACTAATGTCTCTGAGATAACATTTGTTGGTTCCTTCAGCATCCTTGGAATTACACCCTTACATTTATTCACAACAGTCAAATATTCTTTAATGTCCTCTTCTTATTTTAATCTGCATCCCTACCTCCTCTTTGTTTATATTGACTTTGCTAACTATCTATTCACAGTTTATCTTTTTGTGGAAACAGAAGCAAAATAGGCATTAAGCTGGTTGGTTGTCTTTATATCTTCCATTAGTAACTTGTCTTTATCATTAAGCAGTATTATTTCTCTCTCATTTATTGCCAGCTGTAATTCATTTTGTTCTTTTTGTGTCCTGATATTGTCCCAACACTCCTGTAATGGTTCTAACTTTGTTTCTTTATGTCATTAAAAATCTATTTTACAAACATATTGCTCGCTTGTGACTTGTTCATTCTTCCTTATACATCAGATTGGATTACATTTGTACCTCTGATGTTGTATCCTTTAAGAAAAGCCAGCATTCCCGCATCACT